ATAAGAAAAGAATAGATATTCTTATCTTTTTATTTCGGGATTGTAAAATTATAATTTATCAGGATCATAAAATTCGTTTCTTTCAAAAATCCACACACAAAAGACAAAAAAATCAACATGAATCTAATAGGACGGGATAGTAATACTCAACAGCATCCGTTAGTGTCTTCATCTGCTATTGACCATGGTAACGCTACAAAAACTCGACGTAGTTCATCTGTACTCACAGTCATAGAGCCAATTATGTTACTAACAGCAGAAGAAGAAGAAGAAGAAGATAATAGTGAAACGACAGCTGCATTGAAACCGTTCGCTCTATCTGGCACTTTATACGGTCTTTTGGGACCTTTTCTATACGTCACAGCTACATTCATTATTAAAGAATTGCAAATTGATCTACTCAATGCACTTATTATACGTCTTATCGTACAGATTTCTCTGTTTGCAGTCTTCGTCATCTACCATCACTATCCAATATGGAAAGGCTCATCGAAAGAAAAATGGCTACAGTGTGTCTTATGTATTTTAAATGGCTTTAACTTTCTCGCATATTTTATTGGTATTCGTTACCTTCCTCTGTCTGATGTGATCACACTCAAATTTACATGCTTATTTTGGACGGTTGTCTTTGGTGCAATTATCTATAAAGAGAAACCGGCAACGACGACTCTCTTAGCTGTTTGCTTTACAATCATTGGCGTCTTATTTGTAGCACAACCAACCTTTCTCTTTAAACAGAAGAAGGTAGCAGAGTTCACTCTAAATATGACGCTAACAACATCGAATGGGACAGACATAGGAAACATAAATTCGTTTAATGATCGATTAATTGGCGTCTCTCTTTCCTTAGCAACAGGTCTTTCATCTGCATTCGTTCTTCTAATCTTTAAACAATTGATAACATTAAAACTTAAAATGAGTGCTTTAATTCTACAACATGCCTGTATGTTTCTCCTATGTCTTATGCTCAATCAATTTTATAAGTGTTTTCTACTAAATGATCTGACATTCTTTACATCGACAATTTTTCAATGGAAATATTGGCTAGCTGGACTAATTAGTGTACTACAGATACTTTCAGTCATCTTTGGAAATCGTGCCCTGAAACGGGAGCCACCATCTGTTGCTACAATACTCTCGGCATCAGATATTATCTATGCTATTGTTCTACAGAATTTATTTACAAAGAATAAGTCAAATTTATGGGCTTTACTTGGAAGTGCATTAGTTATGTCGAGTGTGGTACTCATCGGTATAGACAAGTTTATGAAAGAACGAAAGACTAAGAAGAAAAAGATTGAGGATGGTAATGATGTTAAGAACTAAGAAAAGATCACAACAAACTTGTCTGCTCATGCACTAGTGCATCATGTTTGTTTTTCCTTTTTTTTGGAAAATATATTTCTATTCTGTAAATTAAGATGGTTTTTTGGACTTCATGATGAAAGTGTAGCATTGGGTGTGGGTATGGATATATATAAATAGAATAAATATCTGTACTCATTCCCACATCTACTTCCACCCCAAGATAGTGTGGATGTTGCTCTTTTGTTACGCCCACATCGGTTAACCATATCTATACTCCACAGTGAGTATAGTTTTCACTTCGCATATGCATATTGTATAGTTATTGAATTCTCAAGTAACATCAGATTCAAAATGTCATATTATAAATAACCAATCACGAATATGTTCCTATGACTTTATAAAAAAATGCAAAGAAATTCCACTCCCCAAATGAATATGATTGACTAATAAAGTATTAATCAGGAAGCCTCTTCAAGTGACACTCTCTGTTTGAGCTCATAGTTTGCTCATAAGCAGCACTCGTAGTGTAGATGAAAGCCCTAAAAGGTTTCTTCCCCATAGCTTGTTGCTGTTGAGATATTGCATTTTTAAGATATTGCCTGGACTCACTGCCATGGTCTCCCTCAGGAACACAAGAAAAACTTCTTTTCGAATCTCAATTCGAAACTTTGCCTAAGGATACATTTTAATGAGAATAGTTTATTTTGAAGGTTTCAGTATTTTTCTTTGTTTCTATCTCAGATTACAACTATGCTAACTGAATATCGTCTACCGTGGTATATTATGATGGTCTTATAGCAGATTAGGAGCACGCGAAAAAGTTGAAACTTTCATAATAAATTACTCTCATTAAGATGTGTCTTAGGGTAAATTTTTGAATTGAGATTCAAAAATAAGTTTTTCTTGTGTTCCTGAGGGAGACTATGACAATGAGTCCAGACAATATCTTAAAAATGCAATACCTCAACAGCAACAGACTATGGGGATGAACCCTTTTAGAACTTTCATGTGCCCTACGAGTGCTGCTTATGAACAAACTATGAGCTCAAACGGAGTGTCACTTGGGGAGGTTCCCTCGTAAGAAGCAGTTTATCTGCATATATGTAGAACATTGACATAAGATTTATTATGATACTGTGTTATACTTATTTTATTCAGTTGAAAAATATTCATAGTAATTTTTTTGTATGTTTTGTTTCATCCATTCTAATGAGCATAGTGTGTGTAATCATATGCATGATTCTGGATGTGGATGAGTGAAGTGTTTGTAGAAAGATGATAGTGGCACTCATACCTTGCCCGTCATCCTGGCATGCTTCTTCAAGTGAAAAAATAAAATTGTAGCATCAACTTGGATTACCAAAGAGGCTACTTTTGGTTCATGTAAGATCCTTATTTCACCCAAACATAACGATAGATGTCAGATACTTGTACTATAGCCTTGGCATATGAAATCCAACACGTCCTCTAAGTTTCATACAGTTTGTACGTTCTCGTACAAAGATCAGATTTCGAGAGAAAGGACTCAAGATAGGTGCAAGGTTTGCCATATATTGAGTTTTGAACTTATGGGTAAGTATTTGATTTCTAAATCATTGATATTAGTTCCCTATCACTAAAAGCCTTTGCAGTAAAGTTTATAAAAGAATTTTTATTCAATATAGTTGATCAAGAGATTATCCCAAAGTTGAGGTCAATTATTATATTTATTTTCTAAATGTAACTCGATACATAACAGAAGTGTCACTCAATGGAATATATTAATTGCTATTCTGTTTGATTTTAAAAGTCTTAAATGAAAACCTATGATTTTTTTTAAATGAAACAGAAATTCAAGTTTATTTTAAATGATAGTAAGAAGAAAAGGTCTACTTGTTGTCATTTTCTATAAACAAAAAATAATGTTAAGCATGAATATTTCAATTTTTGAAAATACGTTCTCGAATAAATCAATTCATTCATCAATGCATATTTTAAGATTATATTTATCTAAATAAATAAAACCAATTAATTGTGAATATTTTATGATAAGGATGAGCTCTATTGACATATGTTCAACTAAATGATATATTTAATAAATTATTCAGATGATGTATCAAGCCACAAGTAAACTAACTCGACAGTAGCACAACAATTATACCCACCAAAATCGTCCCAATCTAACATATATTCATAAACTCTATTCGTGTTGCTGAACCAACTAGTGATATTATTCGCAAAATTCTCTCTGTCACGAAGATTCGAAATCTAATTTTTGATAGATGTCTTCCGTATTCCAATATTATTTTGATATGTTGAGGTAATAGTAAAGCGATAGTGTTTCGAGTTATTCACATCATTCTATCAGATTGATTCTGTTCTAATTCCATCATATCATTAGATTCATTGCAAATTATTTGTACTGAAAGAAGATTTCGTGCTTGTTTGAATAAAACATAAATTTCTACATCGATAGTTCCAGAAAAATTGCAACAGCATTGAAGACGAACATGTATCTCTTGAAGATTCAGTAGATTAATAGCGGTTGAAAGATATTTAATGGAGTCGACTGGTCATTCTTGATTAATAATCGGCGTGAGTGCATGTGGATGGGTGGAGTGGGTGTGAATGTGCAAGTGTTCCTTTCTGTTTAGAGCTACACCCACACCCACACCCTTAACTGGTCATGATTCAAAAAAACTGTCTTCGCAATGCCTTGCGGATTTAAAAATGTGAAAAGTGATGTACTCGGTACAAATGATGAAAGATATTTTCTTTTATAGAACTAATTGATATGATATTCAAGTATTTTAAGATTTTAAATATTGTCTATCAAATTCTGCAGAATGAAACGAGAACTCTGTATGGAATTAGTCTATAGACAGTGTACAGTATGTAATAGAAATATTTTAATTAGTTTTTAATATTGGCAACAATTTACATGATTTTTTCTAACAAAAGAAGCAGAGACAGAATGTGATAGTTTTGTTTAACTGAAGTTTATTTTTTTTTTTTATGAGGATAGTATTGTCATTTTGATTGAACAATTATATTTAGTAATTTGATGATAAAGGAACAGAAACGATCGTGTATTCGAATTTGGTACGAATGAGTATGAGAATACTATTTATTGAAAGTGTATTTGAAGCGGCGTAAAAGGTGTGAAATTGTTGTCTGATTTATGATGTTTTGAGATAATGATAGTTAAATATTTATACATGAAAGAAAATGTAAGAATGCATATCAGTCATGAGATCAAGTAAAAGCGTGGAATGAAGACTTGAAGCAGCATGAATTCTTAATGATAAAAATGGTGNGAAATTCTATGTCCCAAAAAAAACTTTCCAGGAACCTCAAAGATCTTGGCAAAAACTTAAACAAGCCCCTCAAAATATGGATTCTCATAAGAATTGTTACGAAGTTCTTTTTTGCATAGTAAATTAGGAAAAGATTTTACTAGTTTAGAGTATGTTAGGGAAGAAACATTCTCGAAAGTTTTACCAATTGCCTTCGAAGAAGAAGAATATCTTATTCGTAGTCAACGACGATGATGATTTCTTTTCTTTTTCTCGTTCATTGTAGTGATTCCTAATATTCCAGTCAATGCCCGATGGGCACAGAATGGAGTGACCGTTGCTGGAGGCCATGGACAAGGTGATTCCACCAATCAGCTCTCCAACCCTTGGGATCTCTTCGTTGATGATGATCAAACGATGGTCATCGCTGACCGGAAAAATCATCGTATTGTCCAATGGAAGATAGGTGATACAAATGGACAAGTAGTAGCTGGTGGCACTGGCCAAGGAAATCGATTGGATCAATTGGATACTCCAATTGATGTGCTGATCGACAAAAAGACGGATAGTCTCATTATTAGTGAAAGAGGAAATCGACGAGTCGTAGGATGGTCTCGTCGTAATGGCACAACTCAAGGAGAAATCCTCATCGACAACATTGATTCTTATGGATTGGCCATGGATGGTCACGGATATCTCTACATTTCTAATGCCTTACATGAAGTAAGACGATATCAAATAGGAGACAAGAATGGAACTATCGTAGCTGGTGGCCATGGCAAAGGTACTGGTCTCAATCAACTCAACTATCCGCACTGCATCTTTGTCGATCAACAACAGACTGTCTACGTGTCAGACACCTATAATCATCGTGTAATGAAATGGAATAAAGGTGCAAAAGAAGGAATTGTCGTCGCTGGTGGTCAAGGCGAAGGGAATGCTCTGACACAATTGTTGTATCCTAACGAACTCGTCGTCGATACGTTGGGTACCCTCTATGTAGCAGACTCGTTGAATCATCGAGTGATACGTTGGCCTAAAGGAGCAACACAAGGCACTGTCATTGTAGGTGGAAATGGTAAAGGAGCACGAGCAAATCAGTTCAACAGTGCCGTCAGTTTGTCCTTCGATCGTCATCGCAATCTCTATGTCGTTGATACGGATAACCATCGTGTTCAACGTTTTTCAATTGAATAGATTGATCGTAATGATTTTTTTTCTTTCCTTTCTCACAAATAAAGTACATTAAATTGATGAAAGGAAAGTTTATTCTATTCGGGCGCGCATGGAACAGACTCAAATCATCCATATCACAGAGATGTGGCAAAGAGCCTGTGGGATTCGGTCGTGTGCCACGGACACCGAGACAGTTGCTGGTCGAGCTTTTAAGGGCTACCCGGCAGTCCTTCAGATAACCGGAGCCTAACCTCAATGGACATAACTCATCCTCCTACTAACACTCATTTTTCTGAGACTCACCCTAACTCGCTTAATCTTATTATCACTATCTAGACTCAGTCCCCTCTCACCCTATTCTCTTCTAAAAAAAAAAAAAGAAATAATTACTCACTCGCTTTCGATGTTGGACGACGTTGATGATGACGATGCGGTGATATTGTTCACTAAAAGGAAAAACAGTTTAATTAATGATGTATATATATAGGAAAGAAAGAATAACTTACCTCCCTGTTATCTGTGTCACTGACTTTGCAATACTTGAAATAGAAAAAAAAACATACATTAAAATAAATTTTTTACTTGGAATAAATTTTTCGTCTAAAACCTAAGAAATCAAACATAAAAGAAATCACTTACTACAATAGATTTGTTCTTGGTGACCTAAATGGAAACAAAAAAACGAATTGAAAAAATTTGTACTTACCTAAAAAAGACTAAAACGAAAGAAAAAACATTAATAAAAAGATCAAAGAAAGCCTTGCCAACTATCCTTATGATCTTATAATAACAAATTAAAAAAAAGAAAAAGAAAAAAGAAAACTGGCGCCTACAATTTATGTTATTGAATTGTTTTCTGTTGTCTTGTTCCATATTGTATCGTTGGAATCAATCTAAAACATAAAAGAAAAATATTATTTATGGGTGTGGGTGTGCGTGGGTGTGGGACGTGGGTGTGGATGTAGCGGTGAGTGTCTTGGTGCGGATGTGGGTGTGAGTATGAGTGGAGATGGGTGTGGGTGTGAACGTGGATGTCGGACGCAGAGTGTGGGTGTAGTTAGAAACATGCTGATACTCACACCTCACATTCACACCCAGCCTCACACCCACAACTACTCACGCCCGCCTACACCCGTATCCAGTTCTTGAACAACATCGAGTTAATCAACATTACATGTTCTTTAGTATTAAAAGGCGTTCCACAAGAACCAAATCTATATCGTTTTTTTCGCACGTTCCACAACATATCAAATATGCTGTAACCTATCATCCTTTTGTTTGATTGCATGCATTCATTTGGTTCTTCACAAAAATGTTTTCCAATAATATACAAGACTGAATCTTGTTGGTGTATAAGTCTATATTCGATAACAGCTGATTGAACTATCAGAAACAAAGACAAGTTGCATTAAAATGAATTCAGGGTGGGTGTGCGGTGTGGGTGTGAGTGTGGGTGTCGGTGTAGGTGTGGGTGTGAGGCTGGGTGTGAATGTGAGGTGTGAGTATCAGCATGTTTCTAACTA